TGACTTTGAAATAACCACTAACTTAAAAACAGCACTCTGGCTGGGCATTGTGGCTCACGCATGTAATCTCAGCACTTTGGAAGGCCAAAGCATGAGAATCGCTTGAGCCCAGGAGTTTGGAAGTAGCTTAGGCAGCATAATGAGTCCCTGTCTCTACAAAAAATTAGCAACACATGGTGGTGCATGCCTGTAGTCTCAGCTACTAGGGAGGCTAAGGCAGGATGACTGATTGAGCCCAAGAGGTCCAGGTTGCGGTGAGCCATGATCACACCATTGCACTTCCGTTTGGGTGACAGAGCAAGACTGTCTCAAAAAAGCAAAAACCCAGCACTCCACTCTGTCTGTGATGGCGACAACATCTTCACGCTTTGCATTGTTTTTAAACCCGGGGGCCGGGGGGAGAGAGAGAAAGTAAGTACTTCATTTGCAAACCCCCTTCAGTTTGTGTCGAGTCCCATGAAAATCAGGGAAGCTATGATGGCTTCTGACAGGAGACAACTTCTCAGAATGTGGTATCATGCCGTCCAATCTTTAAGTGAAGATACTTCCTCATTCTCTGTAGGTTTCTTTTCAAAACACCATAATGAAACCATTCCTTTCTCTCTCCAAGATGGAATCTAAGATTTAGCAGAGTATCAGTGGCTCATATATTCATCAGCCTCTTTTATTTTATTTTTTTTTGGAGATAAGGTTTCTTCTGTGTCAAGTATGAAAAGGCATTTTAATGCTATCTCTTTGACTTATTCTCTGGTGCACTTCCCCTTACACGCTCACATTATTCTCAGTGATATCTGCTCTTACTTCTTTTTAAATAGTGTGGCTTTTGATCAGGGTAGACTCTGGTGGAAATGATCTGGGAGGATTTCATAGAAATATTGCTTCCACCGAAGGCTTTAATTCCCCCTTGTAACAGAACGTGAACAGAGTTTGTCCTCTTTCAGTTCCACAGTGCAGAGAATATTTACTGCTCTTCTTTATCAAAATCTCCTGCGCTGGAGGTTCTTGAAAGATGAATCTGAAATGAAGTGGTTTTTTTTCCCCATTCCTGCTATTGATAGGCTATTCAGTGTGAAAAGATATTGATTATGATCTTGGATAGAGAATAGAGCAGAACAGACGGAGTGATTCTCTGCTACGTTGCTCGTGTTTCTTTTTCCTGATGATTTGCTGCCTCCACAAAGCAGTCACTTGGCAGCATCTCATTTGGGGCCCCTGTGTCCTCATTTGCTAGAAGTAATACGAGCTGCCCGGTCCCCTACCACTATGCAAGGTACCTGATGCTCCACAGATAATGACGCATCATAGCTACAAGATTCTCAGGAATTTCAACTATTCAACACAGGTTTGCCAAGCATTTATTAACAACCAGATTAACGAGGCTTGAACACAATTGTTCACATGTAGAGTCTATTTCAGGTCTGCATTGCTGAATATTGTTGTCATAATTAAGTTCAAAAGTCCAGATGCCATGAACCCATATTTTAAGGATCAAAGGTCAGGATGAGGCATGTTGCAGTTAAGTGGAAAACTTCTTATTTTTAGGTAACCCCCTAAACTAGCACTGAGCTGGGGGAACCACAGCCTGCTGGGATTGTCACATTTTGCTCTTCTACGTAATTACAGTGAAGTTCATGGTAAAGTTTATCTCTTTCTGCCTTTCCCTTCTACCCACCTTCCTGCAAAAGGATTTGCTCTTATCCGACAGGCACTCTCTGTCCATATGCAATCTCCCTGTTCGATCTTTCTCTAGCAATGTTTCATCTTTATTCTTCTTATGCATATTGGGCACTAATTAAATTCCAGGCTTAAACATTCTGACATTTCCAGAATGTAGGCATCAGCATTGGCTCTCATTTCACAGGTAAGAGGCTGTGATTTGGGTACTCAGCACCTTGCCCAGAGTCACCCAGTGGACAAGAGGTGGCTCTAGACCTGAACCATTAGAGTTTTGAGGTAGGAGGCAGGATTTGCCTCAGGATGTGGGATTTGACTCTGAAGACAGGGTTCTGACACTGGGCCAAATTGAGGACTAGTTAAAAGAGGGAGAGGCTGGGCATGGTGGCTCACAACTGTAATCCCAGCACTTTGGGAGGCCCAGGTAGGCAGATTACTTGAAGCCAGGAGTTTGGGACCAGCCTGGCCAGCACAGTGAAACCCCATCTCTAATAAAAATACAAAAACATTAGCCAGTCATGGTGGTGTGTGCCTGTAGTCCCAGCTTCTTGGGATTCTGAGGTGCAAGAATTGCTTGAAACCAGGAGATGGAGGGTGGAGGCTGCAGGGAGCTGAGATCATGTCACTGCACTCCAGCCTGGGCGACAGAGCGAGACTCAGTGATGGAGCAGGGCAGGTTTCCATAAGGCACACCCACCACTGTGCCATGTCAGTTTACCACTGCCATGGCAGCACCCAGGAGTTGCTATTGTCCCTTTCCATGGCACTAACATAATGACCCAGATGTTACCACCCCTTTTCTGGAAATTTCTGCATAATTGCTCCCTAATTTGCATATAACTAAAAAGTAGGTATAAATAGGACTGCAGAACTGCCTCTGAGCTGCTACTCTGGGCATGCTGCCTATGGGGTAGCCCTGCTCTGAGGAAGCAGTGCCCCTGCTGCTGCTGTGCACTTCTGCTCCAATTAAAGTTGCTAAGAGCACTCGTTCACCTTGAATTCTTTCCTGAGTGAAGCTAAGAACCCTCCCAGGCTAAGCCCCTGTTTTGTGGCTCAGCTTTCCTGTGTCAGTTTAACTTCAGACTCAGTTATGTCTACTGTGTATTATTCCACCACCAGAGAAATGAATCAGTGTTCGATGCCCATTTGTTCTCTGAACAATCTTTGTCATTATGGCTGTGGAGACATAGAGTTAGTATGAGCCACCTTCTTACCCTTGTGGATCACCAGTGATCACCTTTTCAACTATAGTGCGTGAACAGTCCTTTACATTCTTAGTAAAAAGAACTGAATCCTAACCTCCTCAGTCTGATGCCCGCAAGCATAGGAAAGAATTGTGAAAACAGAATCAAAATCAAAATTATGGGAGAATGGTTAAGTTCTTTAAAAAAAAAAAAAAAAAAAAAAAAGCACAGGCCATGCTCATGTCTATAATCCCAGCACTCTGGGAGGCTGAGATGGGAGGATCACTTGAGCCCAGGAGTTCGAAACCAGCCTGGGCAACAAAGTGAGACCCCATGTCTACAAAAAGTAAAACAATTAGCTGGGCATGGTGGTGTATGCCTGTAGTCCCAGCATCTCAGGAGATGGAGGTAGGAGGATTGCTTGAGCCCGGGAGATCAAGGCTGCAGTGAGTTATGTAGGATGGTGCCACTGCACTCCAGCCTGGGCAACAGAGTGAGACTCTATCTCAAAATAGCAGCAAGAACAATGAAGGGCTGATATGTTAGGGATAATTCTGTTTATTTACAACCTCATTGTTAACATGATGTAACAGGGAAACACATTTCTACCTCTAAGAGAAATATGAGGTCACTTTCTTCTCCACTTCCTGAGATCACTTTGACATTTTAGCCGTAAAGAATTTTACTGGGCCTGGCTTCATGTCTGTTACCTCTCACACATGTTTGTTTTCTCGTGGTGCTTGAGTGAAGTTTCTTTTTTTTCCTTCTATGGTCCCTGGATAAACCTTCATTTTGTTTAAAGAAAATTGAAGGCTCCTATTGCTAAAAATAAGAGAGATGAATTGATAGTTAAATGTATTAAATAAAAACATTATACTTGGCTGAATATGAGACTAGCAAGACATAAAAAGTACCATTATAATATATTCCACTTCTCTTAATTTGACACTAAACGGCTTGCTTTCCTTTATACATAGTCAACATTAGCTCACCAGAAGGTTTGGTAGTTAAGAAACAAGCTGTTAAATATTAAAGCTGTATCTATGTAATTGAATGTTTTTGATATGGCAGTGTTCTAAATATATCCTATTAAGATACTGTTCTACAGAGATATTTAATTACTGACATCTAATCATGCTGCTGCTGTTTCTTTAACCAAGTGAAAATATGAAGTGCTAGAAGGAAAACAGTTTCATTTTAAACAGCAACATTTTATTAATTTCAGCCATAAAAGCAAACTCAAATCTCCAAATGAAATCACACCATTTTTACAGACAGCATTTTTCAGTTTGGTAATCCTTGTGTAATGCTGAGATATATGACTATACTTAAGGCCTTAAAACATTCTCACAAACAAGGCACACAATAAAAGTTAATTGTGCTCATTTATTACATCAAAATAAAATCCAAACTATGAAATTCACAAGGAGAATTTCACAGTCAACTATGGAACATTATTTTAGATGTTTATGGCCATAGCATTTTTAATGCCATAGACAATTTAGGAAGACATTAAGACCATAATCAGACAATAATAATCTTTCACTTGTGTAGTGCTTTCACAAATTCACGAACATTACCTCATGTTATCAAAACAGCAGTTCTATGAATTAGGTGGGGAAGATCGTGTTGTAATCGTTTTACATATGGCAAAATTGAGGCCATGGAAATCTGTGTAACTTGCTTTAGTTCACAAAGTGACAAAAGTGAAATATATTAATTCAGCTTTCTGGTTTTTTGGTTTTTTTTGTGGGGGGGCACACCAAGCATGTGATCCCATGAATTCTGCTTTCAGAATGGTTAAACTAACCTGCTTTGAACAAAGTTCTGATTTTTATTTTTTGAGACAGGGTTTCACTCTGTCACCCAAGCTGGAATCCAGTGGTACAATCTCTGCTCACTGCAACCTCTGCCTCCTGGGTTCAAGTGATTCTCCCACCTCGGCCTCCTGAGTAGCTAGGATTACAGGCATGCACGACCATTCCTGGCCAGCTTTCATATTTTTGATAGAGACGGAATTTTGTCAAGTTGACCAGGCTGGTCTCAAACTCCTGATCTCAAGTGACCCACCCACCTTGGCCTCCCAAAGTGCTGCGATTACAGGCATGAGTCACTGCATAGGTCCAAAATTCTCATTTAATGATCCCTTTTTAGTTCATGCGCATGACCATTGGGTGTTTACGTGCAGGTGAGCTATGCCACCTTCTGAACCTTGTTATGACATTGGCATGTTACCCATCTAACCTGAAAAAAAAAATTCTTATTTAAACTTTCTAATTATCTAGACCAGTAGTCAACCAACATCTTATATAAAGTGCCAGATAGTAAATATTTCAGGCTCGCAGGTCCTAGAGTCTCCATTGAAACTACCCAACTCTGCCATTATAGTGCAAAAGCAGCCACAGCCAGATGCTAACAAATGGGCCTCACCACGTGTCAGTAAAACTTTTTTTTTTTGACATGGAGTTTTACTCTTGTTGCTCAGGCTGGACTGCAATGGCACAATATTGGCTCACTGCAACCTCCACCTCCTGAGTTCAAGCAATTCCTCTGCCTCAGCCTCTTGAGTAGCTGGGATTACAGGCATGCACCACCACACCCAGCTCATTTTTGTATTATTAGTAGAGACAGGATTTCACCATGTTGGTCAGGCTGGTCTCGAACTCCTGACCTCAGGTGAGCCACCCGCCTCTGCCTCCCAAAGTGCTGGGATTACAAAAATGTGCCACCATGCTTGGCCTTCAATAAAACTTTCTTTACAAAAACAAGCAGCCATGGCTGCAGTTTGATGACACCTGATCTAGACAGGTTGGATTTTATTGTTTTGTGATTATCTATGAGACATACCAAAATGATGAATTCCATTGTTTTTTCCCCCAGCCATGTACTTTGGCATCTATCTAGATGGGGAAGGCTATTGATTTTATTTGCTTGTAAAATAATAGCCTTACAGTGAAATTGTCCTTGCTCTCTTTTTTTTCTTAATTTCTTTTCCACAAACATTCAGTTTAATTTATTGAACATCTGCTAAGTCTTAAGCAACATTCTAGGCACTGGAGAAACAAGTTGAAGACCCAAGATACCTCCCTCTGGGGGATAATAGTGTCTTTGGTTGTTTGTTTTGAGCCAGAGTCTCGCTCTATCACCCTGACTGAAGTGCAATGACACAATCTTGGCTCCCTGTAACCTCCACCTCCCAGGTTCAAGCAATTCTCCTGCCTTAGCCTCCCGAGTAGCTGGGATTACAGATGAGTGTCACCATACCTGGCTAATTTTTGTATTTTTAGTAGAGATGAAGTTTCACTCTGTTGGCTAGGCTGGTCTCAAACTCTAGACCTCATGTGATCCATCCACCTCGGCTTCCCAAAGTGCTAGGATTACGGGAATGAGCCACCATGCTCGGCCAATGATAGCCTTCAAGGGTAACTTCTGTAAACAAACTGTCCCTTAGTGTTATGCAGCTGACATGGACTTTGTAAACGGAAAGATGGGCTCACAGCAGGTAGAGAGAATAATGATTCCCCAGAGATGTCCATGTCCTAATCCTCAGAACCTGGGAATATGTGACTTTACACAGCAGAAGGGACTTTGAGATGAACTGTGGATCTCAAGATGGGGAGATTGTCTTGGATTATCTGTGTGGGTCCAATGTCATCAGAAAGTTTCTACTAAGGGAAAAAGGGAGGCAGGAGAGTCACCGTAGAGAGGGAGATGTAACTTGGGAACCAAGATCAGAATGGTTTGAGGAAGGGATCACAGTCCAAGGAATACAGAAAACCTCTAGAGGTAGAAAAAGCAAAGAAACAGATTTTCTTCAAAAACTTTTAGAAGGAACACAGTCCTGCCAACACTGTGATTTTAGGACTTCTGACCTCTAGAATTGGTAGGTGTGTGTTGTCTGAAGTCACTGGGTTTATGGTGATTTGTTATAGCAGCAGTAGGAGTGGAGATGGGGTGGGAGGTGGGGTAGAGGTAATTCTGCTGAGCAGAATTGGGGGTGGAAAGGATCATTATGGAGACCAGGCATAGTGGCTAGTCCCTGGAATCCAAGCACTTTGAGGGACCAAGGCAGGAGGATTGCTTGAGTCCAGGAGTTGGAGACCAGCCTGGGAAACATAGTGAGACCCCCTCTCTACAAAAAAAATTTTTTTAAAAAGCTGGATGTGGTGACATACACCTGTGGTCTCAGCTACTCAGGGGGCTGAGGTGGGAGGATTGTTTGGGCCCAGAAAGTTGAGGCTGCAGTGAGCCGTGATCCAGCCACTGCACTCAAGCCCAGGCAACAGAATGACATTCTGTCTTAAATAATAATAATAATTATTATTATTATTATTATTCTTGAGATGGTTATTGAGCTGGTTTTGAACAATAAGGTTGTGTTCTAGAGGAGAAAAGGATTTGGGCAGCAAAGACCTTTCCAGGCTGAGTGAACAATTCAAGAACAGATTCAGAGGCACAAAATAGGCTGGTGTCTTTGGGTTATTTTGAGAAATTTGCTAATTCACTTGCTAATTTAACATGCCTGTTTTGGCCAGGCGCAGTGGCTCAAGCCTGTAATCCCAGCGCTTTGGGAGGCCGAGGCGGGTGGATCACGAGGTGAAGAGATCGAGACCATCCTGGTCAACATGGTGAAACCCCGTCTCTACTAAAAATACAAAAAATTAGCTGGGCATGGTGGCATGTGCCTGTAATCCCAGCTACTCAGGAGGCTGAGGCAGGAGAATTGCCTGAACCCGGGAGGCGGAGGTTGCAGTGAGCCGAGATCGCGCCATTGCACTCCAGCCTGGGTAACAAGAGCGAAACTCCGCCTCAAAAAAAAAAAAAAAAAAAATGCTGGTTTTGTCCAAGCAGGGCTACAGAGACAAAACCTGGAGAAGGGGCTAAATTTCTAAGTCATTGTGAGTGGGAAAGCAGTACTTCCTTCTTATGCCCTAAAGCCCCTGATGTCACAGCTGGAAGAAAGGGGGCCATACCCATGTCTCTGTCCCCTTTCACCGCAATTTTGCAGCTAGAGGCTATTGCCCTCAGCTGTGTCCCAGTCCTCCCACCTTGATCATCCTTCAAATGGAGTTTGCGGAAGGGACGCAAAATGTTGCAAAAAGCATATTCATAACTTTAATGTTAATTCATTTAATAAACTCTTTGGACCTAAAAAAGGGTGCCTACCTTAAAAGAAAATACAGCCACATACCAGGAGAGTGCTTACGGGGCTGAACTGCCGCTACTCTTCCAAGCGGATTGCTCTTCCTTCAATATAAAAGGCATAAAGGGTCCAGGCGTGGTGGCTCATGACTCTAATTCCAGCACTTTGGGAGGCTTAGGTGGTCAGATCACCTGAGGTCAGGAGTTCGAGACCAGCCTGGTCAACATGGCGAAACCCTGTTTCTACTAAAAATACAAAATTAACTGGGCGTGGTGGTGGCATGCGCCTGTAATCCCAGCTACTCGAGAGGCTGAGGCAGGAGAATCACTCGAACCCGGAGTGGGAGGATGCAGTGAGCTCAGATGGCACCACTGCACTCCAGCCTGGGCAAAAAGAGCAAAACTTGGTCTCAAAAAAAAAAAAAAAAAAAGCAAAAAGGGGATCCTGTTTTTAAATGAGCCCATTATCAGCTCTTTGCCAAAAATAACTGTGTACCTTACACTGTGCCCATATGTGAGATTTTTCCCACCAAAGAAAGGCAATCTAGGCTGGGCGCGGTGGCTCAAGCTTGTAATCCTTACACTTTGGGAGGCTGACGTGGGCAGACCACGAGGTCAGGAGTTCGAGACCAGTCTGGCCAACATAGTGAAACCCCATCTGAAGTAAAAATACAAATAAAATTAGCTGGTTGTGGTGAAGTGCGCTTGTATTCTCAACTACTCAGGAGGCTGAGGCAGAAGAATTGCGTGAGCCTGGGAGGCAGAGGCTGCAGTGAGCCGAGACAACGCCACTGCACTCCAGCACTCCTGCCTGGTGACAGAGTGAGATGCCAGCTCTAAAAAAAGAAAAGAAAAAAGAAAGGCAGTTTGGTTTGGAGTTTTCAGAGTTCTGCCACTGACCATTGGTTGTTTCTGTTTTTGTCATGAAGGAAAAAAACAAACAAAAAAAACCACATGAAGCAAAGTTTAATCGCTCATTTGAGCCATGAATTTGCTCTGATTACACTATTTAAGACATGAAAGTGTATTTGAACTTTTGCATTTCAAACAAGGAATCTGGCTCCAGGAAAAACCTATTCAAGTGGGACCAGCTCTGATTCAGGCAGACACTATCAAATTAAGGAAGCATAAAGAAGAATAAGTAGCCAGGCTTGGTGGCTCATGCCTGTAATCCCAGCACTTTGGCAGGCCAAGGCGGGCAAATCACCTGAGATCAGGAGTTCTAGACCAGCCTGGCCAACATGGTGAAACTCATCTCTACTAAAAATACAAAAATTAGCCGGGCGTGGTAGCATATACTTGTAGTCCCAGCAACTTGGGATGCTGAGGCAACAGATCAAGATTTGTCTAAAAAGAAAAAAGAAATAAAGGAGGATAAAGAGATAATTTAGAAGTGTAGACATATGATCAATGCTCACTTTTTCTTTCTTAAATTGGAGTTCTCCCATAAACCCAGAACTTTGAGAGGCTGAGGTGGAAGGATCGCTTGAGCCCAGGAGTTGGAGACCACATTGGACAATATGGCAAAATCCCATCTCTCCAAAAAGAAAAAAAAAAAAAAAAAAAATAGCTGGGTGTGGTGGCCTGCAGTCCCAGCTACTTGGGAGGCTGAGGTGGGAGGATTGCCTGATTCCCAGAGGCAGAGGTCCCAGTGAGCTGAGAAGTGACCACTGCACTTGAGTCTGGGCAACAGAGTGAGACTCTGTCTCGACAAATAAATAAAGAAAAAGTTGAAATTCTGCTTCCCAGGGTTTAGTCCAGAACGCTGTATATGGATGGAAGCAACTAGAAGGTGGGAATCATACCTATTCATTGTTGCATCTTCCACAGTTCCTGATACGGTATTTTATACACTTTAGGTGTTTAAGACAGAGAACAAACAAATGGATGACTGAATGAAGAACTAAATTAGGAATTAAGAAAGGAATGTATTGCTCTGCTTTATCCTGGTAGATTTGGAATGGAGAAAATAATAGAAACATGGATGGCATTTCAACCTTGCTACTTACTGTCATATTTTATCACATTTACCAAATTATCCTGTTGTATTAGATTGTTTTTCATGTGCTGATTGTCCTGTTGTATTCGATTTCCTTCGTCACA